AGCTGGATGGCTTTCACCTTGTCAAACTGACTCAATTCACCCTCTCCTTCAGCAGTTTCTGCACCTTGTCGTCAGGAGCTCCATGCACCTGCCTTCAATCTCTGACACTTCCAAAGCACTGGAGGGACTCACGGGACTAGATATTTGCCCATACTGTCCCACATACCCTGCCACTCATGGCTGTCCATCCTTGGGAAAATATCTTGGTGGTCCTCCTATATTGTTATCTAATCCTAGACAAGACTTGAGCCGGACCCTGCTTAGCTTCCACGATTGGACAAGATCGAGTGTTCTCAGGGTGGTCACGCCATAGGCAAAACATAGCGAGCATGTGCAGCAACAAGCTCGTTCCCAGTAAGAGGAGCAGGGTGCTTTCAAGGGCATTGAAAGGATATTCAGGATCTTTAAATCTTCCAGAATCTGCTCCCACTTTAAATAGCCTGGTGGGGTGCAGAGGGTGTGAGGGAATGCCTCCTTCATAGGTTGACCACCCGAGGAGGGAAGAAAAGATGTGTAATTGCTCAACACTCCTATTATATACCTCCCAAAGTACAGAAGTGATGACCACACTGGGAACACCTACCACCCCCGATTCATGATCAATGAGTCGATTGTATTACAAGTCATTGCCATGAAGTACAGTGAAACAATAACCCTAGCTCAGGCCCCCCAGCTGATAAACACTAAAACAGCAAATACCGGCTATAAGTAAGGTACGACATGCTGAAACTCTGAGATCAAGAGCAACAACTTTGAAAGGCAATAAATCAGCATTGAGACGAGTGACTATTAATGTGAAACAATGAATGCTTACCACAAATACGGTTAGACGCACTCCAGTCAGATCTGTTGTTATCTCAACCCTTCGTGCCCCACATTGGGCACTACAAAGAAGTGTCGTGGTTTGAGCCCAGCGGACAACCCAGAACCACACAGCCACTCGCTCGCTCTCTCCCTTCCTCCCGCCGTTCCTGGATGGATGGGGAGGAGAATCGAAAGAATGTAACTCACATGGGTTGAGATAAGACAGTCCAGTAACTAAGGTATAACACAAACCACTGCTGCTGCCACCAATAATAATACTAAGGGAAGTAACAAGGGAAGAGAATACAACTGCTCACCACCTGCTGATGGATACCCAGCCTGACCCAAGCAGTGATGTAGCCCTTCCGGGTAACTGCCCCTGGTTTATATACTGGGTATGACATGCTGTGGTATGGAATACCTCTTTGGCTAGTTTGGGTCAGGTGTCCTGTCTCTGCTTCCTTCTGACTTCCCCTCCTCCCTGGAAGAGCATGATACTCAGGAAAGTCCTTGGTCGGAGTAAACATTGCTTAGCAACAACTAAAAACACCGGTGTTACCAGCGTTGTTCCCAGGCTGGAAGTCAAAACCACAGCACTGCACCAGCCACTAAGAAGGAGAAAAATGACTACTGCTGAACCCAGGACACAGGGGAAGTTCAGGTTAGATATAAGGAAGAAGTTCTTCCGTGTGAGGGTGGTGAGGCACTGGAATGGGTTGCCAAAATAAGTGGTAAATGCTCCATCCCTGGCAGTTTTCAAGGCCAGGTTGGACAGAGCCTTGTGTGACATGGTCTAGTGTGAGGTGCCCTTGCCCATGGCAGGGTGGTTGGAATTAGATGGTCTTAAGGTCCTTTCCAACCTCAACTATTCTATGATTCTAGTCTAGGATTTACTCTGGGGATTCCAGCTACTGTGGATGTAGAATCTGTCATGGATAGGAACCGGCTGCCATGTAAGAGCTGCCAGTGGAAAGCTGAAAAGCAAACCCTAAGATGAGGTAGAGCCTGGAAGGAAGAACTTCTTGTGGCTATAGCCATGATTAGACACTGATGCTGTCAGTGACATGATTATTTGATTCCATGCAGTGTTATCTTCATATCAGTTTTCTTTTAATAGCAGTCTTTAAATCACATTATATAAATTTTTGCAAGTGTTTGTGTTTTGTTTAGAAATACAAAGACAACAGCTTTTTCTACAGAAAACAGAGCTTGAGATGATGTCATGGTGTTCACAGATAGGTGAATTTCTAATAATGGGGCATACAGGCGGGTAGATAAAATTGGATGAAAGGAATGAATAACTTCCTCTGAAACACTGGTGTTCTAAGCCATGACTTTTTGGGGGGTTATAGTTCGTATAGTTGATATGTAGTTATAGCTGTAATTGTCTGGATGTACAGTCCAGTGGCTGAGTGGAATGGCGGTCTTGTCCTTGTCACATCTGCAGCATTCTGCTTATAGAAACGATTTTCCTTAGACCAAGCACCTATGTAGATGGTTAGAGCAAGGCCCCTTCCTCTCCCATGGAGCTCTGCAGCAGTAAGGGTCTGGCTGCCCTCTGCAGACCCTGTTGTTTTAATGCACTCTTAAAGTTTTAAATAGTCTATTGTTGGGAACTAATGATCATCCTCATCTATCATTTGTGAGAGGATGAAGACTTGTTAGCTGTTCTGTGTGTTACAAGAATCCCATACAGTAAGAGTGAAAGAATGAGTTTATGGGGTGTGATTTAATGATGTATGACTACTTTTTCTTCAACCTATTGCCCTCAATTGGTTTATAATACTGTGTTTTAGGGTATACTTCAATCTGCTACCTTACTGAGATCCAGTGAACTCTAGGGTGGATTGTGGTAACCCAGTGAGAAGCACTGCCATGCTCCATAGTAAGAAAGTTTATGTGAAGGACTGATAGAGCAAAGTACTTAATTCCTGGAAGAATTTAATGGCATGTAAGATCTCTGTTGAGGTGACAGTATATTGGAATTTTTAGATCTTCATCTACAGTACTGTAAACAATTACCTGGATAGGACATCTTTTTCATGGGGAGCTTGCTGCACCAGGAGAATGTAGATTGAAGTCAAGCACTTGTGTGTTTCAATTCCCCTTTCTCAACCAAAGACTTCAAATATTAATATTTGTATTTCTGTATCATGAATGCTGTGGTATTCCAGTCCCACACTTGCCAAACAAAGAAGCAATTCTATGTCTTTAAAGTTGTTGGGTTTCTCCTCAGCCATTTGTTGAAGTGCTCAGGGTTTGTGATGGTTTCCTTTTTATTTTAAGGATTCTTTTTTTTACCTTCACAGTAATTGAAAGTTAAGCATTTTAATTCTGGCACTGTATCAGTGGCTGATGAAAACTTTAGGAAATAGAGAAGGTGTTTGAGAAGTTGGATTTCTCCAAGATGTCCAATTCTTTCTCATGTTTTGCCTCCCATGCATCCCTGTGGTGACAGTAATTTTCTTCAAAAGGATCAAATAGTCATTTCATAGAAATAAAGAAACATTAATCTTAAAATTGTTGCAATATCTTATTTGTTGTCGAGTAAATATTTATTGTGTGCAGGAAAAAAATTTCTTCACACATATCTTACTGCATTCCAGGTTTGGTTTCAAATGTTCTTCATCACTTGAACAAGCAGATTTTTAGGATTAGGAGAAATATGGTTTTGTCACCCAATGGAGTTACTTTCAAATTGCAACTGAATAGTTACAGTTCAGATTTACATACAAGCCTTTTAAATCTCTAAAGCATAGTAAGCCTGTAACAGTTGATTCTTCTGATATTCTTTGTTTAAATAATACTAGGATTATCAAACTTGGATATTCTGAGTCTTGAATGAGATCTATATGTATGTATAGATATAAAACTACTGACTTTGTTAGGTAAACAAGCTGCTTTACAGAACTTGAAAGATTTTAAAAGATAACAACATTTTAAGCCTAAATATGATGGAACTGTGACAGTGTGTAAAAATGGAAAACTAGTTGGGACCACTGTATTGTGCAAGCTGGATTTATAAGCAAATAATTGACTGGCCTGAGTTTATGTTTTCTCTTTTATAAAGGTCTGTAACTGGAATTAACATTCTGATAATCTTTTACAGTGTCAGCCAAGCACAATGTTTGGTTTCATTTCTGTTGTCAATAGATCACAGGTTTAAGGTTAGTTGCTAATATTTTTACTGATCAAAATGTCTTTCAAAGACTAATAGTTTCACAGGTAATTAAACAAAAAAAATAAAAAGGATTATTCTTCTGAATCAAGGTGAGAGAATGGCATCTTCCAGCAGTAGATGTAGTTCTCGCCTTCCTGCAGTTTCTCCATCTCACCTACTTACATGAACAGCAGATTCTCTTGGTTCTGTCAGACTTTATTCTCATTCCAGGATTTCTGATCTTTGGGATTTGTTTTTTTTTGTGATCTCTGTTCCTTGGCGTGCTGATAACTGACAAAGGTATAATCAAGATGACTCTTCTGTGCCTTTTTTTCAAAACTGCCAGAACGATTTGTGGAAAAAGGGGTTGAGAGTTTGGAGAAGCTCAAGGGAAGGAGAAGGAGTTGGGGACAGCTCAAGGTATCCCTTTCTCTGGAATACCTTTAGCCATCCTAGATGAGCTCAGTGTCTGAGGTGATGCTCTTCACACTGAGGATCAGGCTCTTGAGATTGCTGATCCATTGTGATGTGATGAACTTCAGTGGACATGTTTCAGTCCTTTAGTTACCACAGTTACTTTGGAGGCAGTAGGATCAAGACCAAAGACAAGGGTGTGGACTTCCATCTGTTTTCTCCTGGTCATTAGTTTGCTTTATTGTCACATGCATGTTCAGCATCACTCAGAAGTTCTCCTCAGCTGCAAAAGGGCAACTTTGAGCACATCAGTGTATAAGCATCGAAGTATATGTTGTCTTTTAGAGGTTGCTTTGGTGCATTCCTGCTTATCTGTCTTATATCTGCCGTTGAAGCCTTCCCCTTGTGTTTCACTCTTTGAGATTTTATTTCTTTAACGCAAATCTTGTTATACAAAAATTGTATTTCAGGTGAAATATCTTGAAATAAAACCTGGTACAGAAGGGAGTGATGAAGAAGGAGGAAATTCTGAGTTCCTCAAAATTCCGAATTCCTCACTTACCTCTACCCATGAGCCATCCTCTTGGTTTAATAGTCATTCTGGTCATACTTTTTCTTGCAGCAGCAGATAATGGAGCGACTGCATCTGGTGGTACATCAGGAATTCCTCCCAGCAATCCTGCTGGGAATTCCAAGTCAGCAGCAAGGAACCTGGGCTCCTCAGCTGGAGAGAAGGAGGAAGGAAAGAAGGTCAGGAGGCAGTGGGAATCGTGGAGCACAGAGGACAAAAATACTTTCTTCGAGGGACTGTATGAGGTACAATAACACACTTAGATGGCTTCATGTAGTATCTGAGTATTCGTAGAGAAGGTTGATGCATTTGAGATTTTCATGATGAAATCACACGTTTTTGTACAACTGGCTATAAACCAGCTGACAATAAAAGCTCTTTTTGTGAAATATTCTTGTTTTATTCATAAATGTTTATAATAATTTCAGTTATTTTTCAGATCAGCTCTGTTTCAAATGAAGAATAAAAACAGCATAGTGTTCCCATCCCAACTTTCAAAAGCAACACATTTATTCTATAGTATTCTCAAACAGGAAAGTAAGTCCTGTTCTAATAAGAATGGTCAGCACTGTACTTGGACTTTGGTCACAGAAGGGTTTGAACCAGTTCACAGTAGTAAGTCTGAGAGACATGGAAAAGTTAAATCATCTTTTATTTCGTATGACATGTACGATGTATTCCTGGTTTAGGATTACTGTAAGAGCACTTCTGTTATGAAAATACATACTAAAGGGGAAAACAAATGCAATGCTGGTGAGGGTTTTTTCTGCACGTGTGGATCTTCTTACAACTACATTTTTTAGTGGTGGGCATGATTCACACATATGTGTTGTGTGGAAAGAGTGAACACTTTTAAACCACTGTTTTATTTCTTTACCTCCTCTAACTTGCAGTGATGTTCCTGGTAATCATGTAATTTTTAAATCACTTCATCACTCAAAACTTACAACTTTTTTCCCTAAGGTGGATTTGGGACTCCATCCCAAAATTTGGTCCCCCATTCCCAATTATTTTGTGTTGCTGCCTTTTAAAAGAGGTTCTCACACTCTGTATTTGAATCAGTTCCAACCTCTTTTGAATACGAAGAAATTTTGTGATAGCAGGAGGTCTGTGATACTATATATAAAATAAAATTTTCCTCTTTTGAACTCCAGTGATTTTACAGGAGTTAATTAATTTTAAAGGGACACTTAAGTGTCTTGGTTTTACCCTGAGAATAAACTTTGGACTGAACTACAGTGTAAAATTGTGTTTTCTGTTAGAATTTTTTACTGCATTATTTGAAACTCAGATTTTACATTTCTAATGATTGGAACATGAAATTTACTGTAGATAAAAGTTGAGCTGTTATATATTACAGGCTTTTCATTCATCCTAGTTAGAAATGGAGGTAGGAGGGAAAATGCAGAGGAAAGTAAAGAAGTCTGAGGGAGAGAGTTGAGATTTTCAGTCCTGCTGCTCAGCACATTTCTGAGTAAAGTTGTTTGGGTTGTTTTGTTTGTTTTTAAAGTTTGCTAGCAACGTACAGTTTTTATTTTGAAACAGTGCAAGAAATTGGAAAATAATTAATTTGGCATCTGAAATGCACTTTATATAAAATAAAGTATATCACTGTCATTCTTTTGCTGTTGAGTTTTGTTACCTGAGATTTTGTTGATGACCTTGAAAATCTAATTTCCCAAGAAGAACCCCCAGAGTCATTGTTTGTGTTATCTTATGACAAGACACAAGTTTGGTTTTGAGTAATTGTATTTGTTTTATTTATTATTTAGCATGGGAAGGACTTTGAGGCTATCCAGAACAACATTGCTCTGAAGTACAAGAAGAAGGGCAAACCAGCAAGCATGGTGAAGAATAAGGAACAGGTCCGCCACTTCTACTACCGCACCTGGCACAAGATCTCCAAGTACATTGACTTTGATAATGGTGAGTATGCAATGACATGGGTTTAGCATAGAGCTCACAGCCTCATGAAGGTTAGAGTCCTGCTTTATAGTGCTATCATGGAGAGTAGGAATGCTGGAGATCAGAAAATGATCACTGTACAGAATGTCTGTGAACGTGTTGTGTTCATGTTGTTTTCATCACTGTGGCCATACTTCATGGGCTTTGGAAAATGCTTTGCAAAAACTGGTATTTGTATCGCTGCTTTTATATGAATACACCACAGCACAATAAACACTGATCCTACCATTAGTACTGGAGACAAGCCAGGTTCAAGGGAATACAGGGTTTTTTTCCCCTCAGGAGCCCATCTTTGAGGACAGCTGCCTAAATGCTAGTCAGGCATGACTTCATTGTGCAAATTGACTTCAGCCCTACTTTGCACTTCTTGAGGGACAGTAGAAGTTAAAATAAATAAAAATGTCTGATACAAGTGTAAATGGTGAAATATTTGCTCACACTTTAAATAAGCCTTAAACTGTATGATTGGTTCAGTAATTTAGGATTCCCACTGCCATATTCCCCTCTTCTATTCTTCCCCAGAAAAACAAAATCTGGAAGTCATAAGTACTGCTAATGGTGTTTTGTAAAAATTATACTAATGTATGATCGCTGATAATGGATTTTTATCAAATTTGTCCTATTCAGTAATGGGCAGTGAGAAGTCAAGTCAGTTTGTGGGTAGCCTCATCTGAATAATGGGTTAAAGAAATTTATTTCAGAGTGAACAGATTTTACTGAGATCCAGTTCTTTTCATTTTTAAGGTATGGAGAATGTCAGTTTTCTTGTTAGCTTGTTGACCAAGTAAAGGTCTCCAGGGCTTTCCAATATTTCTGATGCTCTGTTCCAAGTTGCATAAATAATGGCAGTTTCATGGCGGTTGAATTTTCTGATCCTGATACAACACTCTAACATCAGCCAAAGTTGGGGTAGTAAATTCATCTGTGTGATTTGTTGCCAGAGCCTCTCCAGTTAAACTCATTAATGAGAGATGGAGATGGCTTGAAAAAATCTGAAGGAGTGGAAAGATAGTGTATGATATAGTCTCTTTAATGAAATGGTTTTGTCTGTTCCTGAGATATAGGTGGACTGCGATGTAAAGGAGTACTTACACACGTAAAACACCTGTCAGAACATGAATTTTGGAGTTCTTTTTTAAAGCAAGGCAGTATTTTAAAATGAAAGAAGCCATTAGCATTTTGTTTAAAAACAAATGTTACAGCAAACACAGTATGAAAGAACTTAAAAAAAAAAAGAATGTCATGAGGAAACTTAATCTGTTTTCTGGATAATGTGAAGTTCTATATCTATACCTGTAAGGTCTGAGATGTCATTGGCTGAAGGAATTTAAGAATTAGTACAAGAACTTGGTTAGCCTTAGTATTAGTAGTAATATGTGTACCTGGGTTTTGAGGTTAAATGAGTCTGCAAGTCAGAGAACTGAGTTCTTGATGAACAGATAAGAATGACTATTCTAACCTGTTTTGTAAACCATGAGACTGTCTTTCCACGCTGTCATAGATATTTAGATCTATTAGCAATAATAATGTCCATGTCATCTGTGTTGGTGAGAAAGGAGGAAGAAACCTTGGAAGGCTGAATGAAATGTGTGCAATTCTTCATATAAAAACTTAGAATCTAGAACTTGCATTAAATCTCTAAAGTGAACTTGTGCACAGAAATATTTTTTGTTTTCTGGAAAATTCACACCTGCTTCTTAATTTTCATAGAAGAAAGAATTCTGTATGCATTTTTCTGGGAGCATCTGGGCATCTCCTTTAAAAATCATAAACAGTTAAGTAATGCCAGAGTTAGCTTTATTATGAATTAGCTTTATCTTCCATATTGAATTGTTGCATATTTGTTTAAATCCTAGAGAAGCAGCTTTTTCTTTCCTGTAATCTAAAAATTGTTGTATTTCCCAGATATTTAAGTCACCAAAAGGAAATCGGTGAACTTGTCTCATTATGGTGTTTCTTGAAACAGAACTCAATCTGATCTTCCATGAGATGTTTGTCTCATTGAAAATACAAATAATCTCATTTTCAGTGTTGAAATGGGTATCTGCAGTGTAGTAACTGTGTAGGGGTATCTGCAGTCTGTATCTCACTTCCACTTTTTCTGCTTTCCAGTGTTTTCTCAAGGGCTGAAAAAATCCTCCTTGGAGCTTTATGGCTTAATCTGCTATGGGGAACTGAGGAAAAAGATTGGGGGATGTGAGTATGAATGACTTAAAATTGTTATTATATGGTAGAATCAGAAGTGACTACCCTTGAAGCTGACAGTGTCTATCTTGAGTTACTCAGAGTTTGTGGTCATTGCATTCTATAGCTGTGATTTGTTGTATCTTTTCATTAAATGTATTTGTATTTTTAAAGACCTTCTTAGTCTGTTGAATCAGTCTCTTTTTTCTTTAAAAGATTCCATTAGCTTTTGCTATCTGTGGGATACACTGCATGTAATACCCGCAGATGACAGATAAAAATGTGTGCAGCTCAGGTTCTCTGTTTTAGTCTTGAAAACAAAGCAATTAAATGTGTAAATGATCTCAGAACTTGGTGGCAGATAAAAAAGCAAATCAAATGTTAGAAATCACTGGAAAAGGGTTTACAGAAGCAAATGATTTACAGAAAGCAGATGAAATATTAGAAAATAGTAGGAGAAAAGGAAAGAATGGAAGGCATCTTTTATCATAGAATCATAGAATGTTTTGGGTTGGAAGGGACCTTAAAGCTCATCCAGTTCCAACCCCCTGCCATGGGCAGGGACACCTTCCACTAGACCAGGTTGCTCCAAGCCCCATCCAGCCTGGCCTTGAACTAAAGCAGGGAAGGGGCAGCCACAGCTTCTCTGGTCAGCCTGTGCCAGGGCTTCACCACCCTCACAGGGAAGAGCTTCTGCCTAAGAGCTCATCTCAATCTCCCCTCTGTCAGGTTAAAGCCATTCCCTGTTGTCCTGTCTCTCCAGACCCTTGTCCAAAGCCCCTCTCTAGGTTTCTTGTAGCCCCTTTAGGCACTGGAAGCTCCTGTAAGGTCTCCGCTTAAGGAGCCTTCTTTTCAGGCTGAACAAGCCCAGCTCTCTCAGCCTGTCTCCAGAACAGAGATGCAGTTGGTGAAAGTGGTTTGTTCCCCTCTCCCGCCTCTTCTCTTCCCCCTTCCTCTTGTGATATTCACCTAATTCCATCTTCCCAGATATTGAGATAACCTACATAAGAGCTGCCGAGACATACAAGTGTATCGTGAATACTTTCAGCATTGCTAGAGGGAGGTTAATTGTTCGGTAAGCAGATTTGGCCTGACTATAATAGGAACTATAAATCAAGTTCCCATTATGTCCATTTAAAAATGTAAAATTGTAAAAGAATTACACTTTTTTTTTATTCTTTTTGTTCATTTTATCACATTCAACACTGAGGACTCGATGCTCTTTCAGTACACTGAGCTGCCTTAGCAACAGTGATTGAGCAGGAAGATGAGGAAGCTTCTCTTTTTAATATTGTGGTGTCAGATTAATGCCCAGCAACCCAAGATGACTGTATTATGTAATATGCTGTATTAATGTCCAGCACCCAAGCTAGGGTTATTTAATCCATGAGTAAAATGCAGTTTTTGTGGCAAGGATCATGTAAAGCTTGCACATTATGAAAATAGAAACTTTTCAGCATGTGTATGTTATAGCATATTTATGCACATTAATCCTATGTGAGCATAAAATGTAATAGCTTGAAAACTGATCTGAGCACTAAAAAGGCTGTGACTTTATCACTTCAAATCCTAATTCACTGTGTTGTCTCAAGGTATGGATGACAAGAATGCAGTAAAACTCAACGAGCTCATTCAAGCTGGGTAAGTAAGAACTTATTCCTGAAACTCTTAAAACCAGGTTATTCATCACCTTGACTGTTGAGTTGGTCATCCAGAGTCTAGGAGACATTTCTTACTTTAGAGCTACAGTTTGACCTTTTCCATTCTTTGTTTTATATGCTGTTTTTTCTCTCTTTACCATGTAAATACTCCTCCCTAAGAGTATTCTCTTCAAGAAAGAATTATGGGATTGCAGGGTTCAGTCTTGGCAGTGTACTTCGGGAATATGGAAGGGGCTAGAAGTTGCTGTACTATCGTAACTTGTGTGAAATCTCTTTGAAAGAATACTGTTTGAAGTGGTGTGACCATTAGTCAGGCATCACTCAGCAGACATTGGTTTGTCCTAAGCGTGTCTTAAAAAGCAATTTGAAAATAGTACTATTTTCTGTCTTCTACAGACCCTTTTTTACTTTTAGCATTTGTGCTTTCACGCTGTTTCATTGTAGCAGACACATTATTGGTGAAGTTTATTGTCAACAGGAGAAGGAGTTTGCCCACTCAGCAGTTGCTGATGTTTTGCCTTTACCTTATGTAAAATGGAGAGTTGCTATTGCGCCTTTCTGTTGTTCAGAAACTGAGTTTCCAAATGAGTTCCATACAGTTTATTAACCTTTCCTCTCCTGGGAGATTCATTTTGCACAGTGTGCTTCTGTCGTGCAGAGCTTGGGTATGATTATTTATGAAATCACTTGTTTGTTTTTCTGTTAGTTTTGAATTACAAGAGAAATTTCCATTTGGATTGGGTTTTGTACACTTTAATGTGTGCAATCTTAGCAGTAAGTCTTTCCATATAAAGAAATGATTCTTAAAGCAAATTACCTCTTTAAATTGGAGTTACCACTTAAAATGGGCTCAGGATGACCTTTTTTCCCCTGTGTCCTGAGCATCTCTGGATTCATATATGAGCAGTCATTGTTCTCTGTGTTGTACTGGAGAGCCTTTCTAATACTGTGTCATCCAAATAGATTAAACCATAATTAATGAGGCTGATGACTTGTAGCTAGCTGTAGCATCAGTCTAGCCCTTGGCGTGATTAAGGCCTTACTTCTAATTAATTGTTAACAAGGACTAATGAAGTTAATGTCTATGAAGTCTATGTGTTTATTCTGAAGCTAGTCTTGTAACAAATCATTTTGAAAGCAGTTGTCTTTGCATATGAAAATATTAATGCTCATCTTCTAACCAAGAATGACAGTGTACGTATTATTAACATTCTTTGGCAGTTCGAAACTCTTGCATAAGCTTTTTGTCTTCCAGGTGGGAGACACATCTCTGCTTCCCTTTTTCTCTTGCATCTTTACCCCATTTGGTGGGTAAACCTTGTCAGTCCAAGAGGAGCAAACTCTGTAGGGAGGCAGTTTACATCTGTGTTACCACCTGGATGTCTACACCCTCTGAATTAATCCCCTAGCACAAGGAGGGCAGCCTCACATCTCATACAAGCAATCATGTCACATATATCCCACTAGATTGAACTTTCCACTTTGCTCAGGGATGTTACAGTTCTGTGATCCCCCTCTCTGTAAACAGTTCTTTTTCCAATACCCAGCACATTTTTCAAGTGTGGTCATCTCAGTCTTAGGTCTGGGTTCACTTCTGCTGTCCTTTTGTGAATTTTCCTGTTAGCAGTATAGACAAGTGCTCTTTCTGCGTGATGTTGTCTTCCTTAACAGCATAGGAAAAAAAAGTAAGATCCTGCTGTAGGAATATCTCCCATAATTTCTTTCATTTTACTTGCAAGGACTTATGTTCAATCCTGTTGATTCTATGCTGATTCTTATTGCTTGAAGTATTAGGTAGTGAATACAGCCATCAGTGACTTTGGTCTCAATGTCTGCCTTCTAAGCCTCTAAAAAGAAGACAGGGTTGAGTGAGTGAAGAAATCAAATAGTTCCACTGTGCAAATACAAAAAATGTCCTCTTGCTTTTAAGGGTCTTTTATAGCTAATTATGTGGTATTGAGGCTAAAAGCCAGTGAAATCGTACTGTAGAAGTTACTTTGTTCAGATTCCAGCACAAGCTCTTAGTCCTAATTTTTGCAATGGATGTGGTGTTAGTATTCCAGAGTAGAAAACTCTTCAGAAACTTCAGACTTTTTCTTCCCCTAATAAAGAGTTTGGAGTATAAAGAGAAGACTAAAGCAAACCCACTTGTCTTTTATGAGGAAGCTGTCTCTAAGGGTACTGCTGAACTTAACTAACATAATTCTTTGGTCTGCTTTCTGGTCTCCTTTCTGACCAGGCAGCCCTGTGTTTCTTGAAAGTCTGTAAGAGGAGGGTCACAAGAGTAGCATTTCTAGAATTAAAAGGAAGATGATAGAAAAGGTTGAATGCTCTTGTGAAGCTGCACTGCAAACCCTTCCGTTTGTTTGGTTATTCATATAGCTGTGATCATATTTGGCTCTGTGTCCCTGTCATGTTTGTATTCACAAACTTTCATTAACGGTGCTTGTAAGTACTTCTCTTTCAATATATTCAGGGCTACGACTGTTCGATACAAAGGCAGAAACCTTCGTATCAAAGCTCCAATGTGCAGGGCTTTGAAGAAACTCTGTGATCCAGATGGTGAGTAAGAGATGCTGGGACATGAAACGGTTTTAACAGATGAGCAGAAGAAAATGAGAGAGAGTGTAGGGCTGCTCTGATGTGTCCAGCACTGGCAGGGGGGATTTGAGCTATTTCCCATTTGTGGTAGGGATATGTCCCTCTTGTCCTACTTATCCTGTTTGCTTGTATAATCCCAATAACTTTAGGACCCACCCAGCTCTTTAGTCTTGGAGTATGTCACTAGCTAAACTAAAAAGGAAGTAGTTACACCAGATGAAATTGCTACTGGTCTACCAGTTGTGCTTTTGCTATGTGTAAAGTTTAGTCCCCTGTGCCAGTGAGTAAGCAGTAGTATGTTTTTTAGCATTGAGCATTTTTTACTTTTTTGTTTTACCTTCTCCAGTTCAACTATATGTGATTTTTTTATTTTTTCCTTCCTTCCCCACAGTAGGAGGAATCAGTGCAGTTTTAAAGTCTGAAATGGTGTACTTGTGCAAAGTTTCCAGTCTCCTGATTTTCACACTGCTTGTTCAACTGGAAGCTCCAGTACCAGTGTATTGCAGTGGTAGTGGAGTCCTCTGCAGTGTCCAGGGAAAAAAAATCGTACTGGAACAGGAGGCAGTCTAAGGAGTCAGGCTCCACTGGTGGATCTGAGCTGCCTTGGTTGTCTGGAGGTGATGCTGATGTCTGTGATGCTTTCTGTGTTGTCCTTGCTTAGATCCATGCTCTTTGTGCTTCATCTCCCTCAGGTGTTAGTGATGAAGAGGACCAGAAGCCAGTACGTCTGCCCCTCAAGGTCCCTGTGGAGTTGCAGCCACGAAATAATCATGCATGGGCACGAGTACAGAGTCTTGCCCAGAATCCACGGCTTAGGTAATGAGGAACTGATGGTGGTGCTCAGAATAGGGAAACGTATGAGCAGCATTGTAGCTTCTTCCTCTCTCTTCAGGGTTCTCTTTGCCAACGGGGCAGTTCAACTTTGAGAATGCAGTTTGCCTAAATGTAGTTGTCATGAAGGCTTTGTGCAACCAGAATACACAATTGTTATAAACAGACTTGCAAATCATATTGCCACTGTTCTTTGTATTTTATGAGTAATTAGAGTAGGAGATGAATTTACTTTGTGCTACTTACACTCAGTTGCCAGAGCAGAGTGCAAGTGAACTGGAGAAAAGCATCACTAATTCTGCTAAAATTTGTATTGAATGTTCCATGAGACAAAGACACAGGAAAGTAAAACGATAGAGGTGCCTACACCAAGACTCGGTGGTTCAGTTGAGACTAGCAGAAAGGGAAGTATTTGTAGTGTAATCTCTACCCTGCAAAATGTAGTTGGTGCTGTTGTTTGTCATTGATGACTGCTCATCTTGTACTTACATCTTGTCCAAAACTGAGAGCAGAAAACATGAGGCCTCTGTGATGTTGATTGAGGACTTCAGTGTAAAGAGCAAAGATCACACAGGAGAATGAAAGTTGTTAGCATTAGGTTTACTTTGTAAATTGCTTTGAGAGCCAATATTAAACGTTTGGGGCATTTTGGTGCCCCTTTCTCTCTTTTTTTCTGTACTCCATGTGGTAGCTTTGTGCCTTGCTTGCACCTCTGCAGTTCAACTAAATCTCACCATCTTTTCCTGTCTTCTTCCATCTGGAGAAATTAGTATCTTGAATCATGGCAATCAGATTTATCTGATAGGCTTTTAGAACTTTCTCAGTTGTGAGTTACCCAGATTTTAACGTTGTGGGATAAAATGTGGTTTTTTGTTGTTTTCTTTTTTTCTTGGATTTTTTTTGTGGAGTTTGGAAGCGGTGAGTGTGTTCTCTGGGCTTGTATTCCAGAATGTCAGTTTCTTTCCTGAATTCCCATTCTAGCATCAAGGCTCTCATTTGAACTTCGGCTGACATTTCTTCTGTTCCCTTGCTTTGTTAATCTTGCATGCAGGATGATTGTGGAGTTACATCGGAAAGTGTCCAGCCTTATTGAGTTCCTGAAGCAGAAGTGGGCTCTCCATGAAGTGCGTATTGTATCCTTTCTGTTTTTTAATTTGTGAGGCTGGAAGAAGTACCCGTGTAGCCCTTCAAACTTAGAACACTGTCAGATGTGTCAGACAGAGGTTACTGCACAGGAGGGGAGTCTGGTTTGCTGTGCAGTGACACTGGGGTTTTCTGCTTGGTTCTGTTTAGGCTCAATAGTGGAATAAGATTTTTTTTTTTTTTTAATTACAATGATGTGTGAAGTAATTTTGTCTGTAACAGAGATTTAGTTTGTGCTTGTATCAAGTCTTCGTTGTAGTCTTTATCACAACAAAAGGACTTAATTTTTGATCAGAGAGTCTTGATAGCTATGCTGAATAGAGAACATGTCACTGAGCAGCTACTGTTTTTTTTTTCACTTTTTAAACTTGCAAAATAGGTGCCCACGTGCTTGTTTGGAGAGGGCAGGTGATTGTTCTATTCTTTGACACATCTCATTTAGCGTAAAACACTAGAAGAACGGCAGTTTCAAGACTCCAGAGACTCAGAAACAAGGGGCAGCTTCTCAGAAGAGAAAGTGATGCTCCATCTCTTTCCAGGAGAGAATTGTACACTCACTCCGCTGCCTGGGGTAGCCAGAGTGGTCCACTCCAAGGCTTTCTGCACAGTGCATTGGCAGGAAACTGGCAAATGCAAACAAAACACGAAAGATTCTCACTTACTCCCCCCTGCCCAAATCCTAGGCATACAAAGTGGTCAGGGGACAGCAAGGGGACAGCTAAAATACCCACGGGGAACAGAAGGTAAGGGTGTTGGAAGGGCAGAGAGTACTATAGAGTCAAGCAGAACCTCTCAGACCATAGCTGAACTTTCTGCAAGCACTGAAGATGGTGCCCCAGAGCCTGGCCTGGTGGAAGAAACAACCTCAAATCTTGGCACCACTAATTCCCTCCAAAAAATGCCTTCTGGACTTCAAGATCCAGGAGGGAAGCACGAAAAGCTGAGCTCAGTGGCCTTCTGTGTGGAGGGCAGGGAGGCCCTGGCAAGTGACCAAGCAACTATGCTACCGTCGTGCAGTACAGCTTGTGCTTGCAGTAAGATTCCTGATGTGGAGGAACTCTCTCTGCTTGATCCGTTCCCACGATACATGAAGTCCTGTCAGGACCTGATTGTCCCAGAGAAATGTTCTTGCACAGACAGACTGCATGGGAAAGACTCTACTCCAGCAGCTGGTGATACTTCTACTGGGGCTTTTCCAGGCGGGAGGAGCACAGAGATATCTGACTCCTGTTCACAGCTCCCAGGAGGTGGTGTGGCTTCACCCAGCAGTCGCCCATCCAGATACGAAACTCAAGCTAGCCGCAGCCAGGGCCAGCAGCTTGATGCTTGTACCAAGGATATAACAGATACAGTCATGGAGGATTCTCAAGAGAAGCTGGGATCCTCGTTTCCACCTCCACCTCAGGGACAATCTAGTGCAAAGTCTCTCAAGGATGACTCAAGCCGGCTCTCTCAACAGGTTAGAGAAGAAGGATGGAGTCTAAGAACTTCTGAGAGCCTTACACTGGCTGAAGTCTACCTCATGATGGGCAAACCAAACAAATTGCAGCTGGAATATGACTGGTTGGCTGTCTTGGAGCCAGAAACCCATGATGCTAGGGAGCAAACATCTGAATCAAGTGCTGCTCCTGCATGTCCAACCTTTCACAAGCAGAGACTCCTGAACTGCCTTTTAAAACTCATCTCTACTGAAGTCAATCCCAAACCAGTAAGTAACACTCATTCATCCACGAGTTGCTAAACTCTTAATTTTCCTGGGAACAGTTGCCCAGTCATGTTTTCACGGTGAGACAGTGATGAGTCTTGTCAAGATCTTTGAAGATTCCTGTTTTTGAAAAAAAAAACATACTAACACAAAGAAACCCAACCAAAACAAACAAAAAACCCAACCAGACCACAGCCCACTTACTACAGAGTGGACTTTTGCTCAATATGCTGTATTTGCTTTTTACATGACCTTTTAGTTTCTGGTTTCCTCTGAATCTCAGTGGTATTACAATGAACATTTGGTGTGACTCCTGGAAAGATCAATCATGAGGTAGGGGCTTTCTATTCTCTCTCAGGTTCATAGAGCCACAGAATAGCCCAGGATGGAAGGAACCTTTGAAGATAATCTGGTCCAAGCTTTTGTGGGAAATGGATCCTAGATGACAAAGAGAGCCTTGATCAGATTAATATCCCACGTGAAAACTGCAGCTCTTAATTTTCACTGTTTATGTAGTTCAAGTTATACTGAGTGTGTAAAAAGAATTTATTTATTTGGGCTAGCATAGCAATTATAACTATGCCTGCCACAGCAGCTTTTGTAAAAGTTCCGTGACTCTAGGATAGTTGCTTATCAGACCCAGAAAAGTATCTTCTTCCTCAGACAGACAACTGGGAAGAGACTTCTTTACCTCCTTGTGTGTTGTAACCAGTGTTTAAGGTCTGGAGAAAAGAAGGCTCTGGGGAGACTTCAGAGCAGCTTCCAGTGCCTAAAGGGGCTTCAGGAAACCAGCTCTTTAGACTGAGCAGGGAGAGGGATAGGAGAAGAGGAAAACCCACCAGTTCTTGTTTGCAAGTGTTTTGCTGTCCTTTCAGTGCTCTTAGCGTCTTAAAGTATCATAGTGCTACTGAAAAATGCAGGGGCTCTTTCAGCTACATACCATATTGTGCATTCCAGTAAGAAAAAGGTAGTGTAACGTTTGATTTGTCAGACACCATGTCATACTCACTGTATGACAGCAGAGAAGGGTTGATTGTCCACAGCCCTGCTATTTTCTCAATACCTAGCAAAGTCAAAATGGCCAGGTGTGCTGAGGTTCATTCTTTAAGTGAACATTACAACAAACTGTAGCAAATGGTGCTGCAATCAGATGTGGGTCTTGATTTTGTACCTGTAATTGCACACAGATTCCTTACAAGGGGAACATTTTCTAGAAAAGCGCTTGAACAATTTAATGAAATAACTGGATAGCCTGGAAAATTAGTAAAGCACCTTGCCATGTGTCTCTTGTTATTGCTGTATTACAGTCTGAATAGGAGAAGGGATGGAAAAAAAATCAGAACTATTGGTCTCTGCTTGACTAGAATTAAGAACAAATTGTCCAGGTCTTCTTCTGCCCAGAGGAGCCTTCTGGATGGTGATGGTTATGAAAATCATTTTTCCACTGGACTAAATCTAACACCTTTTGGAAAAGGTGTCAGTAATGGATTACTGACATATCTGTATCTTTACCTTCTTTTTTTTCTTTTATCCACATTTTCAAGCACTGTGTGAAGCTTGTTGAATGTTATCCCCTTGTAACCTAAATTAATGATACTAAACCAATCTCGTTTAACACTGCTAAATGCACAGGAAGGGAATTTCAGCTGCCCGCTGCACACACCTGGAAGTACTGGTTAGAGTGCTTAAAGATACCATAGTTTGTCAGATTATGGTTCGTTTTTTTTTAGCTTTCTGAGTAGAATGAGTTTAATGGTGTATTTATTGCAGCAGCACATAGTATTCATGTCATGTGTGTGAATTTTCAGATGCCCGAGATGAGTTCCATTGCCACGTCACCTATAAAGCCTGCTCAGGAGGAGCAGTCACTAACTCCTCCAGGGAAGGTGATTGCCATCAGCACCAGGAGTCCCGGTTGTGCACGAAATCAATCTGGCCTTCGCAACAACAAGACTTTTTCTCCTGGTGCTGCTTCCAGCTCCTCAGGTGAGTGTTCATGAAAATGCATTTCAAGAGGTCACACCATTAGTACCTCAGCCTCGATGAGTACGCTCAAGTAATGTAACACCAGGGGAATGAGGTACTTCCACTTGTGAATTTAACTGTTTAAGAACATTGGTATGTGTTAATTTCTTTAGAGTTACTGTAAATTCATTAGTACTTTGAGTCTTGGAGAACAATGCATGTCAATACTGCAGTTTACAGTCCAGAAGAACTCTGAGGCGTTAGTATCAGGCACTGGCAAAAGACACTGGCATGTGCTGTAGTTTAACCCACAGACACAGCTCAGCCCCTCAAAACCGCTCACTCCCCATAGCTGAATGGGGGAGAGAATCGGCAGAGTAAAAGTGAGAAAACTTGTGGGGTGGATAAAGGCAGTTTAATGGGTAAAGCAAAAGCCACATGCACAAGCAAAGCAAAACAAGGAATTCCTTCACCACTTCTTATCGCAGCAAGCGATCATCCAAGAGAGCATGCTTCCATCCTGTGTAACAGTGACTTCTGAAGACAAATGCCATCATTTCCAATGTTCCCCTCCTTCTTTTCTTCCACCAGCTTTATGGGCTGAGCATGACATGGTCTGGAATATTCCTTGGGTCAGCTGAGATTGGCTGTCCTGGCTGTGTCTCCTCCCTAGTCCTTGTGGACCCTTAGCCACTGGTGGCTTAGGAGCAGAACAGCCCTTGGTGCTGTAGAAGCACTGCTTAGCAGTAACTGAAACGTCCCTGTGTGATCAAAGCCATTTCCAGCACAAATCCAAAACGCATCCCATACTAGCTCCTATGAAGAAAGTTAACTGTATCCCAGCCAGAACCAGCACAAGCTGAGAGATAACAGTGTATGGGATCTGAAAGAGTGAAGGTTTACAGAGCGCGAGTGTGTTAAGTTTGTTGATAAAATAATTCATGAAACTTTTCTGTGCTCTTCTGCCATTATAGAATGCAGAATGATTACGAATTACCTTTTAGTAGAAGCTACGTATTCTAGACCTTGCAAGCCCCAGTCCTGCAGACAAAGAATTTTGGTTCTATTCAGTCCAGTTGCAATGGCCAGCAAATGTTTTATGACTTCAGAAAAGTTCGTGAAGGTGCCAGGTTTACTGGGAACAACTGGGATTCTTGACCTGTCCTTTTCACACCCTGCTGTAAGAAGCGGTGGACTATGAGCAGTTTAACTGATACTGCAAAGCACTTTGGGCACTCTGTGGTTTTAATTTTAAAATGGAGTTACAGTAATTTAATCTTTGGCTAAAACTGCATTGTGCGTACCTTCAGACAAAGATGTACTTGCTTAAATAGCTAGTAGAAAGCCAGTAATTTAATAGCTCAAACAAGTTGTTGTATTTCAATGAGATACACAGGCTTGAAGGACACATCTTTTCAAATCAGACTTCCTTAGCTTGTGATATTCTTTTTTATGAGATAGTTCTTAATGCTTCCATAATGCCTTAAAAATCCTTTCTAGAATAGCAAGATCACAGTACTTTATATCTGATACCCTAGGAACAGGCAGCTGTTCTATTAGACAGACATTCACTGATTCAAAAAGAAATCTATTTGTCCATGTTTGTCTTTGATTCTCTTTGCCGAGTTCCAGTTGGGTTGTGAGGCCTTGTGGTTTGACATGCTGTAATGTAACACGGAGTCAGGAAATGAAAAATACAGCCTGTGTATCCCTGCTTTTGTATGGTACTGAAGAGACAAGTTGGCTTCAGCTGAGCTGTTTGGCTGGAACAGAGGAGCAGAAGTGTGTGCAGTACAACATTCTACCTGGTTCAGCTCCTCAGCAGCTCTGCTTGGGGTGAGGCCGCAGGCAGCGGCATTCCAGCATGTCCAATGGATACCCAAGCAAGTTGTTTTGGTAGACAAACTGAATCTCATTTACCACCCCTGATAAAAGTCTTCTGGATCTAAACTAGGATTGTTTGTGATCTGGATTTCAACCTTTTGTATACAATAATTATGGTGCTGCTTTGCATCCTCAAATACAGCGCTATTAAATTATTGCAGTAATGTGGCTATCAGAAAGGAAGCTGCCCGCTTACTTTTGGTCATGATCCTTCTAGGCGCGTTCCCTCGTAGAATTTGGTCCCGAGTCCATCTAAGTGCTATATACTTCTATATGTACGTCAGGGGTAAAAGGAAGACATGGGAAAATGGGGGCCCTCTGGAAGGAAAAGGGAGACCTGGTCACCTGGGACACGGAGAAGGCTGAGGTACTCAATGACTTTTTTGCCTCCGTCTTCACTGGCAAGAGCTCCAGCCACACCACCCAAGTCATAGAAGGCAAAATCAGGGACTGGAGAATGAAGAACCACCTGCTGTAGGAGAAGATCAGGTTTGAGATCATCTAAGGCACCTGAAGGTGTACAGGTCCTTGGGACCCAATGAGATGGAGCTGCAAGTCCTAGTGGAACTGGCAGATGAAGTTGCCAAGCCATTATCCATCACATTGGAGAAGTTGTGGTAGTCTGAAGTTCCTCTAACTGAAAGAGGGGAAAAATAACCCCCATATTTAAAAAGGGGAAAAAGGGAGGACCCAAGGAGCTACAGACCTCACCTCAGTGCTAGCAAGATCATGGAGTGGATCCTCCTGGAAACTATGCTAAGGCACATGGGAAATAAGAAGGTGATTGGTGACAGCCAGCATGGCTTCAATCAGTGCAAATAGTGCTTGACAAATTTGGTTGCCTTTTTGATGGGCCACAGCATTGGTGGTTAAGGGAGGAGTGACTGACGTCATCTACTTGGAAGTGTGCAAGGTGCACTGTCCTGTACAGCATCCTTGTCTGTAAACTAGAGAGGCATGAATATGATGTATGGGGGTGGATCCTCAGTGGATGAGGAATTGGCTGGATGGCTGCACGCAGAGAGTTGGGGTCAACAGCTCAATATCTCTGTGGATATCAATAATGAGGGGTTGGTGTCGGGACTGATCCTGTTCAGCATCTTTCTCAGTGACGTGGACTGAGCACCCTCAGCAAGTTTGCTGATGACACCAATCTGTGTAGTTCAGTCAGTATGCTGGAGGGAGGAGGAGGAGGAGATGGGATCCAGAGGGACCTGGACAGGATGCATAAGTGAGGCTGTGTGAACATCATGAAGTTCAACAAGGCCTTTTTATCCTTTTTATCTTCTTTTTTAGGTCTTCAGGTATCAGTGTGCCTTTTGTGGAGCTGTCAGTGTTTGCCAGTGCTTTTAGTACTTCTAGAGTTGGTGCAGGTTATCTTCTAAGCTTTATTTTCTACTGAGTAGGTCAAATCATAGAATGATTAGGTTGGAAGGGACCTTAAAGCTCACCCAGTTCCAACCCCTTGCCACATTCAGGGGCACCTTCCACTAGCACAGGTTGCTTAAAGGTTTTTTCCAACCTGCATTTTCACCCTAGCAGGATCCCTGCAGAGTGGGCACAGCAGTGAGAAGCCCACAGTAAAGAGAAGTGTAAACGGAAAGTTTTACTTGGAGCAGGTGCTGTTATTTCAGTGTGTTTTATGTATTCCTAAGACAGTCCATCTTTTCAAAGATACTTTGGTAAACTGATCCCTGCTGTGTCATTTCTCTGCCACCAGAATACTTTTATTGTGGTTGCACTTTGGATTGCCATGGGGAAGAGGTGAGAGGTGTGGACTGTAAATGAAGCATCAGCAGGTTGTCGAATGAGCTTGTCTATATAACACGGGAAAGTGTAGAGTCCTGCATCTGGGCAGGAACAACCCCAGGTTCCAGTATAGATTGGGGAGCGACCTGTTAGAGAGCAATGTAGGGGAGAGGGACCTGGGGGTCCTAGTGGATGACAGGATGACCATGAGCCAACACTGTGCCCTTGTGACCAAGAAGGCCAGTGGCAACCTGGGGTGTATTAGAAGTGGGGTGGTTAGTAGGTCAAGAGAGGTCCTCCTTCCCCTCTACTCTGCCCTGGTAAGACCGCATCTCGAATATTGTGTCCAGTTCTGGGCCTCTCAGTTCAAGAAGGACAGGGAGCTGCTGGAGAGAGTCCAGCGCAGGGCAACTAAGATGATTAAGGGAGTGGAGCATCTCCCTTATGAGGAAAGACTGAGGGAGCTGGGTCTCTATAGTTTGGAGAAGAGGAGACTTGAGGGGTGACCTTATTAGTGTCTATAAATATATAAAGGGGGAGTGTCACGAGGATGGAGCCAGGCTCTACTCAGTGGCAAACAATGATAGGACAAGGGGTAATGGGTACAAACTGGAACACAAGAGGTTCCACTTAAACTTGAGAAGAAACTTCTTCTCAGTGAGGGTGACGGAACACTGAACAGGCTGCCCAGGGAGGTTGTGGAGTCTCCTTCCCTGGAGACATTCAAAACCCACCTGGACACATTCCTGTGTAACCTTATCTAGGTGTTCCTGCTCCGGCAGGGGGATTGGACTGGATGATCTTTTGAGGTCCCTTCCAATCTCTGGCATACTGTGATACTGTGATATTGTCTTCCTTTACAAAAAGGATAGTGGGTATATAATGTGTTCAGTGGAATGGGCCTTCAAGTATTTTTCTACAAGCTGAACAGATAAACTGGTTAACAGAGTCTGTGTGGGGCTTAAATTCTAGTTTCTTTAGTAGTGTAAAATCACATTTAGTCGCTTTCTTCTGAAGATTTCAAAGCAAGTGAATGTTTGCAGTAGCCTTGTGAAGCAGTTAAATACTGTGAATTTGCAGGTGGGAAAAATGAAGTATTGAGAGTTGCATGATTTGGGACCATGCAGATGGTGACAGATCCAGAATCCATAAATCTCTGCTCACTCTGAGCCTTCAGTTACTAAATAGTTACTTTGGTTTTGGTTTTGCTTCATTTAAATTGCTCTTCAACACTTGCAGGTTTGAGAAACCTCCCCAGACATCTCTTGGTGGCTGGTCCTTCAAGTTCTGGAAGCACTGATGCAGACGGTGGACTCTTTGCAGTTCCTACGACTCTGCCACCAAACAGCCGCCATGGGAAACTGTTCCTGCCCAGCAAAGAAGCAGAACTGACCTTCCGGCAGCACTTGGACACAATCAGTGTGAGTGAGGTGATCGCATGAACAAAGCAGTATATTGTGCCTGAGCCTGCATCCAGTAGGTATGACAGGATGGTGTTGGTTCATCAGGAGGTATGGGTTTCTTACGAAGCAGTGCTGCTAGTTATGCTCTAGCATAACATTGTATTAGATGAGATTAGCCAGAATTTGACTATCTGACTGTTCCTTGCAGTGACATCACCTGTTGAGACCCCAGTCTGAATGCCATCACATGTCTGGTTCACTCTCTAATTAAGTTGCTCCAGCAAACAGGTGTGCCAGCTTTAGCAAAACTGATATCCTTCTTCCCGTGCAGCTGGTTTTAATACAGCCTCACAGCTGCATTTAATTCCAATTCTAATTTTAGTTTTATATATACAATCTCAGTAACAGTTTCGTAGCAAGCTGCAGTAGTTAAATGGTTGAAATGACTTTTTGGGGAGAAAACTTTATCTCCATAAGAAATAAAACATATATTCTTTGTGGAAAACTTTCCCTAGCAGAAGGAATATTCTGTCTAAACCAAAGCAGAGTATTTTAATAAATAGTTATGACATTATTGAAAAACAGAGTTTGGGGTCTGTGTGCTTAAAATATTTTCTAATGCATCTTCTGTTCTTGTCCAGATGCAGTCAGACTTCTTCTTGCCAAAGCCAAGGAAATTACGGAACAGACACTTGCGGAAGCCATTAGTAGTACAGGTCAGAGCAGTTTGCAAAGTGTGAAATACCTGGTTTGCTTTCTGAAGAGGTATCATTAAGGCTATAATGATTTGCATCTAATTGCAATAAAAAACCTGACCTTCTGTCATGCATGCACTGGAAAAGTGAAGCTGAACATATAAAGCAGTTCAGTTAACAGTACATGCCTGTATTGTTAACCAGGTGTGTTATATTCCCTATGTGAGGAATGTCAACAACAGTAGTAGTCCAGTGCATGAAGCAGTTTGTTAAAAATAAAAAAATCCCCTCCTGTGAAGGCAGGTTCTGCTGTTTGGGCCTGGTCCTGGTGCACAAGCAGTGTGTTCATCTCGAGCTGCCAGTTGGGGCTATCACAACAAGATCTTCCCTGAGATAGCTTTTCCTGCTCACTGGTGGCTGTTAACTGGGGTGGATATAAACCTCTGTAGTGAAATAAAGCACAACACTATTTGAAAGAACAGTGATTTCTGCAACAAAAATGGGACTTGCAAGATGATGTGTGGAAGAAATAGCCTGATGTCATGGAACTTTGTTAGGCAGGTGTTAACCTCCTTTAAGACTGCTCTGATAACCCAGTGAAAAGGCACATGCTGTAGAGAAACCACAGGCAGGTGGAGAGCATACAAGAAATCTAAAACCAAAATAATGGAAACTTGTTTGAGGGAAACAAAGTTACCAAATGTCAGTATGCCCTGTTGCCTTTTCTGCTCTGTGTGGTAGTAGAAGGCCTAGAAATGACATATGTACTGGGTTTTTGGTTCTGAGACATTCTGGGCTATGCAATTCCATTTGCTTTAGGAGTCCCAAGTACACACAGCTGCCTTGTTAATTTACACTTAGACTGTCGTGAGACAGGTTAGTTTTACCCTACTGATGATGTGTTGTTGCAATAGTAATCCTGCTCAGTATGAGAGGAACCGCAGGTTCAGACCCCTGGTGCGTGTGCTTGGCTGAGGAACCACTGGCGCGAGGCTACCAGCTGCGGGCTTATGACTGAATGCTTCTAAGAGCCCGCCTAGACACTTGTTATGCTATTGCATCATCGGTCGCTCGTGATTGACTCGGGAGATGACAGTCTTGTTCAGAATGCATGGGTAAAGGGCTTTCCGAATCTTCGTTAGCAAAGTCAGGCCTTCCTCACAGGAGAAGGAGAACTCCTATCTTCAGACCCGGGCTGATGGAGTTTGTCTAGCCTTGTATGGTCTTCCATCAAAGAGAAGGAGACTCTTACAAAACCTATGACCTGTGGATTTTGCTGTCACCGTCCTAGCTAACTAGGCCGTGGCAGTTAAACTTCAGGTTTAAAGGGTGGGGCCAGTTCTGCACAATCTGTGCTTCACCTAAAAAATCCACTGCGCAGCCTGGAAGGGCTTACTCTCACTTGTCTCTATGGACGGGCGACGGTCTAAACGGTATGACAAGGTGCATAGGAAGCTGCAGATCCAACGCTGCATGTGGGTGGACCAGCGCATGGGTAGCTCAAATTGGCTCAGGAGTTGACAGTCGTGGTTGGACACTTCCTGATTGCCTAAGCAGCCTTTTTTCCAATCAGATTTGATATCCCACTTGCCCTTGGTCATTGTGCTTGTAGTAAGTGTGGTTAAAGCCCTTCCCAAATCTTCACTCGCGAAGCCAAGCCAACAATTGTAATGGAAGATCAGTTTGCACACAGGCTGGATCCCATCCTTAAGATCACTGCTGTAGTTCTGCAAGGGATTTGAAAATTACTGCAAGTATAAACAGAAAGGAACATGGTTCTGTTAAGCATTTCTCTAAGAATTGGCCATGTGGAATATTTTTCTTACAGTAGTTTACAGGGAAAATGCATGACTCCTATCTGTAATTTCTTTCTCAAGATTACACAGACCTTATTGTTGTGTCTGTTACGTGATAGTCATGCCATGTAAATACTGTGCTTATTCTGGAAGGTATCATGAGCTTTTGTGCTTTAGAAGATGAGCTTTACCCTCTGCTCTGCGTTTAAATGCATTCTGGTGTATTGTTTCTCTCATGCAGAGAACGCTGCTGCCCAGGCCATCTGGAAATCCGTCCCAGCATGTCTGTTCCTTTTCGATCTTATCCAACTCATCCATTACAGGTGAGTCTCTGCATATCTCCTCTCAAATTTTATGCTCTCAAGAGCTGGCCTGTAAGTGTTTCTTAAAACTGCATAAAGGAATAACTTCTGAAAAGAGAACAATATCCTTTCAAAACCACAGTCATTTACCAGTGTTTGAGTCACTTCCTGGATGGTGGGATTGTTCTCTTGGATGATTCTAAAGCAAGTCATGATTATGATGGAAATTTTTTTCTTTCTTTTCCCAGTATTGAAAGTAGGGAATAGTAAGGAGTTCTTTACAAAGAGGCAAAATTTTGGAATAAATTCATTAGATAAGTTGTTCAGGGTTTTTTTTTTCCTGTAGGGTGTGATAATTTGTCTAGATTTTATTATGACCTTTTTCTAATACCTGAGGATACCATTTAAGTTTCAGACTGTATAACTAATACACTGCCCATTTGTCCTTTCCTGCTTATACACTCTTGAGTACAATGGTAGTATGGGTGATCTCAGCTTAAATCTCAAAGTCAACATGAATCTTTAAAGGTTGTCTTCATTGTACATAAGGAGTGTAGCTGGTTAGCTTTCATTACTATTTCAAGTCTGTTTCCTTATCTCCGCTACTTGCCTTCCCGGAACTTGCTACTGCTTGGAATTTGTTTGCTTTCATTGAACTGTGTTGTACTCTGCTTTAAAGATGTTGGATTTCATTTGCTTGAGAGGTATTTAATTCTTCACCCTAGGGAGAGGTTCATTTCGGCCAATCCAGTCCTCACTGACGAAAGCTGCTGTTTCCCGTCCAATCGTGCCCAAAGTTCTTCCAACACAGGCCACCAATCATCTGTCCAGTAAGTCATTTCTGGACAAGACAAGAGTCAATGGTCTGTTGAGAGCTGTGTAGTGTTTTCTGTAGCCTAGGTAAAATCAGTGCCTTTGGGAGTTACCAGAAGAGGGCTGTGTTAATGAGATCTTGCCTCTTGTGGCTTTGTGTGACTGCAGGAAAGGAGCAGTTGGTGGTGAGGCAGTCTGAACTCTGCTCCTCTGCTGTGTCTGAGGTGCAGGCAAAGCATGCGCTCAGCGTTTGTGACCAGAGTTGAGCTCTTTTGTGATGTTTTGTTGTAAGAAAAGGGGTTGTGACATATTTGAAAGAAACTTACAAACTGCTAATCTGCTAATATGGGATTATGAATTCTAGAAGAAAAAAAACCTCTTTATGTACCCCAAGCAAATGTCTGGCAGCAAAAGAATGGGTCCCCCAATTAGGATAATTAGTGAGGTGAAAGCAGTGACTGCCTCTGTGTTTTACTTAGAGGATTCCCTGTGATGGGAAAGCATTCAGGGCCTTTAAGTGGCTTTTTAAAAGATCTGAGTGAGGTTGATCCTTCAACAAGGTAAGTTTTTTACATTGAGTCTAAACAGTTGCTAGAGGCAAGTACCAAAATAAGGCTGTGTTGGGGTTAGAGCCCCCTAGTAAACTGTAGGAAATTTCTAGAAATTGCATAACCAGGTACTTTGCAGTCAAAGAAAAAAATTGCAGGAAAGGGCAGGGGTTGACAGCTGGGATGTTTCTCTGAACTGGTCTGAAGTACCTGGTAATTGTGGTGATGGAATGGGGCAGAAGAATTAACTTTAGGTGGAAGAAATACTACACTTTGAAGAGTTACAACTGGTACTACTGGTCAGATAATGACCATTTTAGCTTTTTGCATATGTTAAGTTTTTTGACTCTGAGTCACAACAGAGTCATTGCCTGAAGAAAAGCCTTGTAATGGGATTTTTGCTTTTTTGTTTCACAAAAGGTGCTATTGACTTGGCAGCTAAAAGTGCTGGTATTATTCCTGGGAGCCCTGTGCCTGTCCTGGATGCGGATGGTTTGTCAGGTGTGTCTCCGCTGTCATCAGACAGAGTGACCACAGTGGTAACAGTGCAGGAGTCAGCAGGGCAGCAGAACAGAGGCTCCATCACCACAGTGGAGGTCAGTCTCAAGTGTGCTTTTTACAGTAGTTCAGTGTCTTCCATTGTGTAAAACAAACAAAAAAAAAGCCATGTTACTAATGACTGTTCAGTGAGCTTTCTCCTGGAGCTTGCTGTTAGACACTTGGATCATAGCAAAGCCAACCCAAATTGTATAATGTGTATTTTGGGGTTGAGGGATCAAATTGAACATTGAACAACATTGAACAGATTTCTGTCTGACCCAGTGGCTTTCAGCTGTGAGACTGTTGAAATTGTCCATCCAGAAACATGGGTTTGAAAAGAAAGAATAGCATTTCAGTAGACAGTAATTCAGGAGGGAATTTTGGGGAAAATCTGGACTTCCAGGTGTGTACTAGGAATGTAAACTCTGATTTCTCCTTGCCCATTCTGAGACCCAGATACATGTTGGTCCATCGTCATTTTCTCAGGGAGTTGCTGGATAGTTTTGAAAGGCACAGTATGTTAAAAGAGCACGCAGAAACAGTGATAGGCATGTGTCTCTCACCTCCCCAGCTATATTTGCAGCATTTTATGTAAATGATTGTCACTCACATGTTTTCTGTTGTGCTTCCAGGGCTCAGGCCCCGGGTGTCGGGTTCCATTCATCAGCCTACCTGCACGGCAGGAGCAGGAGGCAGTTCCTGATGGCTTCCAGGTAGAGTATGTGTTGAAAGAACAGTCGTGTGAAACGGGTAATGTTCTGAAGACACCACTGGTATGGGTAGCTAAAACCCCTGGTTCGGAGGTAATGGTATATACCATTGGTACTGTTTTGTGGGATTTGAAATCTTCAGCATCTGAAGAAATTTGAAGAAAGAAATTTTGGAAAGCTGCTTAAATTCATGTGGCTACTGTTCTCTAAAAATGCAAAGCAAAGCTGACAGTCCTTGTCCTTTTGAAGGTCAAGCAGGTTTTATGTATGTCCTTATACAGTGGTGTAATTGCCCTGCTGTATTGTACATAGGTATTTTCTACATCACAAAGAAAGTTTTCTGCAGGTAGAAATCCTCCTGCTTGTATGTTGCTGAAGGAGGAACATTAAGACTAAAAGTACGATTGTGTGATCCTCATCAGAATTTCACTTTTTTTTTTATGCTGGATCCATAAGGCATAGATACTTAAAGTAACTGTGGCAGCGCCTAAGTTGCAGGTGTTGTCATCCTATTGCCAATTCCTTCTCTGTTGGGGTCTAGGACCTTGTATTAGATACTTAAGCCTCAGAATATGGGCTTCTCTATTTTTTCAGTGGAAGCACTCTTCACCCTTCTTGTGACAAGTACATGTGAAAAAGGCCCAATTAATTTGATTTGAGAGTATAAAGCAGAGGAAGATTTTAATTACATTTTGATATAGTACAGATGCTAGGACATGAATCAACATTTATTTGTTGGTAATGGGGCCTTAGGTTCTGATTCTTGCTCTCAGGATTGCTTTGTATATACTGCATCAGAAGAGAAGCAGTTCTGTGGTGATGTACTAATAACGAGACTCATTAAAAAATGTCAGTTGAGCTTTGGGAAGGCTGTAAAGAGGAGTGATCTGGCTGTTCAAAATATTTATATACTCTTCAATCAGTTACAGGTTTTTTGCCTATACAAAGGCAAACTAGTACTTACTTCTCCAGAACTATCTTGTAGGTTCATCAAAACCGTGTTCATATTATTACACTTGTTTCTGTTATGTAGGCTGTATTAAAAATTCTTTGGAACAATACAGACCCTTGTTTTTTCCAATTATTTGGCAGAATATGGGATGAAGCATATTTGTTTAAGCTTATAGATATTTTTCATTAAAATAATTCAAATTTATCATACAAATAATATATTCCTAAAATTTTAGGATTGTTTGCTGGATTATTAGTCTTCTCCTTCCGCCCTCCTAAAAGTCAGATTATAATTTGATGTTTAGGAGCTAAACTGTTGCTTTTCAGGTGGATTTCCAAGTCCTTCATAGATTTATGAACAGTTAACTCTGTTGCTTGTAACAGGGCACATCAGTCCTTTCTCTGTCAGAACTGTCCAAGACTTCCCTCCAGAATGGTCTTTCCACCCCTCCACTTCCCTCATCAGAGGCTTCCAGTACCCGGCTCTCTCCTCCCAATGTTTCTGCTCTTTTGGATATTTCTCTGCCTGGACCACCTGAAGATGTGCTTTCTCAAGGAGAACCTGCCACTCAAATCAGTGACTCTATCATTGAAATAGCTATCAGCTCTGGTCAATACGGTAAGTCTGAACTCAGCTAAAGTCTTCCTATTAAATAATTCCCATGTCAGCATAAACTTTTTCAGGAAGCAGTTGGGGTTGTTTTTTTTTTTTTGGTTTGGGTTGTTTTTTTTTAATATCTGTTAGAAATAAAATTACGTGCCTAGCTTTTGGTTTGTAGCATATATAGGTGGTTTTCTTGTTGTTGTGGAGTTTTTGGGTTGGTTGTTGTTTTTTTCATTTCTGAACAGAAATTGATGCAGTGTCCTGTAATTTCACCACATTGACTGAATCAGTGATTCCTGATACTGGCTTACAGGTGAAGGTGTTTCTCTCTCTCCTGCAAAGCTGAATGGCAGTGACAGCTCCAAAAGTCTTCCGTCCCCGTCAAGTAGTCCTCAGCAGAACTGGATTGCGTCCCCCAGCCATGATCCCCAGTGGTACCCCAATGACTCCACAGATTCCTCTCTCAGCAGCTTGTTTTGTAAGTGTCAGTGTGCAGAGAACTGCAACAAAACAGCTCTTCCCTTAAAAAAAAATGTATGTCATTGCTCATTAGAAGTGGATCCTTTGGAAAACTGTAAACCCTGTAGGATGTTAGTAGAACTCTTCCCTTACTTTTTGCTTTCATTTCAACAGTGTTGCCTTGAATACATTTTCTTCCTCTTTACAAGTCTGTTCCTGAAAGATCCTGTTGCTAGATTGGGGCCCATACCTTGAGACAAATAACTCCTTGACATTCGTAGTCTTTTTGGAGCCTGACTCATCAGTTAGGTTGAGACATTTTGGTTGTTCTGGCAGAATGAAAAGATGCCATTGGCTTTGCTATTGGAAAAAATAGGCTTTGTTCTGTGCTTGGTGAGCATAATCTCAAAGACATGATCACTGGGTTTGTTTGGAGTTTGGTTGGTGTGTTTTGTTAATTAATATTTAATGTGTCTCTGTACTCTTAGCAGCACACTGATGGTGTTCATGTTGGTAACATGCTTTTTAAGAGATAGAAGAAATAGATCTCTGTCCACCCATTTTCTACTTCCCTGTCATCCTCTTTATCCTGCAAATTGCAAACATTGGGTGCAGTGACTTAATGACATGCCTGTTCCTTATAGCGAGTTTCATCTCCCCTGAGAAGGGACGAAAAATGTTGCCAACCCCTGTTGGGACTGCCAGTGGCACCTCCTTACTGGGACCCAGCCTTCTGGATGGAAACTCACGGGACTCTTTTGTGTCACGGTCTCTAGCAGATGTAGCAGAGGTATGTCATCTAATTACAGGCAGCTATCTGCTTGCTTTTTTAGTGCAGTGTTATTGTGTATCATTCATCATTCGTTCCTGACAAGGCAAAGATGCTTTGACATCTGCACTTAAGCTTAGTAAAACAAGGTGACAGTCTAATGGAAAGATGTAAAATTACTTGGTGCAGTAGGTCCAGAAGGAAGAAGCAGGAAATGGCCAATACCAGTTTACCCGAGAGTATGGCAGAAGATCCTGTGCTGCTGGGTTATTTTCTCTGATGGTGGAATTATCCTCCTGTTCTGAAATCTTTTGAAGGGGTAGAGTGAAGATCAGCAGTTGTTAAGGCTTTGATACGCTTGAGGACAGAGCTCCCTTTCAAAGGGACAGACTGGAGAAATAAGCTGCAGGAACATAAAGGCATTCAGCAGAGACACATGCAAAAGGAGTAACCCCAATAGCAGTATAGGCTGGAGACTGTTTAAGAAACAGCTCTGCTAAGTGCATGAACATCTTGATAGACAGCAAGCTGAGTATGAGCCAGGATGTTCTGTGGCAGCTAGAAAGACCAACAGTGTTGTCGGCTGTTCTAACAGGAGCATAGGCAGTAGATTGAAGTAATGATAATCCCGCTTTACTCAACAGCTGAGAGACCATGTCTAGAATATTGTGACCAGTTTTGAGCACCTGATACAGGGAAGACATTGGTAAGCTGAAGTAAGCTCATTAGAGGGCCACCAAGACAAGTAGGGGGCTGAAGCACCTGTCTGATAGGAAAGGCAGCTGATACTGAGCTTGTTCAACCTGGAGAAGGCTTCAGGGAAGTAGGGGCCGGGCTGCCTGCCAGTGCTTGTGTGGAAATCATCAAGAAGAAGTATACAGGCCCTTCAGAGTAGTGGTGCCATGTGGGAGGAACAAGCAAAAGCTGAGTTGAAAAAGATTCTGAGTATGTATAAAGAAAAGCTTTTTCACCCTGAGGACCACCAGACAGGGGAAGAGGTTGCCAAGAAGTGCTGAGCAGTGTCTGTCTTCAGAGCTCTTCAAGGCTAACATCAGTAAAGCCCTGAGTTAGCTTGTCTGTCCTTCTGGGTGACAGGACCTTGGGTGACCTTGCTTTGAGCAGGAGGTTGTACTAGAGACCTCTTCAGGTCCCTTCCAGTCTTAATTACCCCACAGTTTACAGGTGTTGACTCAGTGTAGTGTTATGTACATTGTACTTTATTATTATGTATTATGTACATTGTAGCTTTGGGGGGGCTTCCCCTGATGGAAGGAAAACGTCATTCCTCCATGGCTTTTTGTGTTTGGATAAGGAGGTTCTGTACAGACCTTGTAAGCAGAAGCTGCAGCAAGCCCATGCTGTTTTAACGTGCCCTTGGGAGCTTCAGACTCTGCACACAGCTCCACCTCCTGGCCTAAATACAGAGATTATGCTTACTTACTTGGTGGTGAGACTCTGTCAAGGAGTGTGCTAATTAAATGAATATATGATAATTTATTTGGTATGGATTTGACATGACATCACAGCCTTACAATCTGCCTTCAGAAGAAAATGGGTTAAGCCACCATTTTAGGCACACCAAAGCAGCTGTTGTGGCAGATGTAGGATTGCATAGGAGTCTTCAGAGGAAACAAGTGTAACCTAAAAATGGCTTTAATGATGGGAGCATTTTGAAAGGCCTTTTAGTAAGTGTCTTGCAGAGAATCAGGTTTTATTTACAAATCCTTAGAGGTTATCTATAAAGTAATAGAGGTAATATCTATAAAGTGCACCTTAATGCTGGATTAAGGATAAGCAGGTAAGGCCCACTGAGACGATAGGTTGGGTTTTTTTAGAGGCTTTCAGTTGTTCATGGACAAGAGCTATTCTCTTAACTCAGATAAAGTGAGATAAAAGTGTATTGTTCATATGAGGAGAGGCTGGGAATGAAGGTGAGGAAGCCACACTCAGGACAACAGCAGTCACAGATTGAAACATGAAATTCCATTTGAAAACAAGAAAACTTTATTAATGTGAGCATGTCAAACATGAAAACAGGTTGCCCAGAGAGGTTTTAGAATCTCCATTCATGGAGATAATTCAGCACCTGAATGGACAAGGTCCAGGGCAACCTGTTCTGGCTGACCCTACATAAGCAGAATGGTTGGACAAAATGATCTCAAGATGTCCCTTCTAACCTAAAATAGTGCTGTGGTGCTATGAAATTTCTACTGACATGTAGCTCTTGTTTTCTCTCATGTCTCTTGTAGGTGGTGGATTCCCAGCTGGCTTGCATGATGAATGAGAACAGCATAGATTACATATCTCGTTTTAATGACCTTGCCCAGGAACTCTCAATACCTGAGCCAACTCGCAGGGAAATTCTGTTTGATGGTGGTGCCCCAATTGGGGATCTCTCACAGTGAGTGTGTAAGACCAGCAGGCTGGTGTAGACTGTTCCCCTAATGTCAGAACTTGCAGCGCTGGATCATGGCAAGGGCAGGTTGTAGAGAAGCAACTGAGGTTCAGTTTTTCCTGTCCTGTGCGCTTCTTGCAAACAGAAGCATTGTCTTCAGAGGTGTGAAGAAGTATTTTCAAGTCCTAGAATGTGCAATATACTGGGAACAACAAAACATGGAACAGTATTACAGGAAATGGTGTGTCCCCTGCATCAGTGATATGAGATGGCAGCTTTCTGGGACAGTCCTGGACTTGTACTTCAGAATGGCCTAAGCAAGAAGCTCAAGGAGGGAATAGCATTGCCAGAAGCTCCACTACATGAATTATTTTTTGTGTTGTAATCAGAATACCATGATTTGGGATCCACATTTGAAGCTGTGGAAGATGAACGATGGGGTTGGGGATGGGAAACATTTTGCATTTTGACATGTCCTGGTTGGCACTCTTTGTCAGTCAATCAAACTGAAGTTCCTTGCATTCTCTTCAAAGGAGCTGTGACTCTACAGTGCTTCTTTTTTATAGAGCAGTCTGTTTCTTTGGCTGTGTTTTGTTGTTGACCATTCCAGCAGGGCACATAGCTGCTTTCTTGGTTTGTAGGGGAGTTCTGGTTCACCCTTCTCCCAGACTGCATGGATCCTTGGGGAATTACCTCTATTTTTAAACCCCATCGCATGGCACAGTCGTCATTTTCATCATCCTGACTGCACTCGTGTTTTCCATCTTTGAGATTCTTCATCCCATTGCACAGTTCATCCCATGAGTGGGGGAGTGCTTTCTTGCTTTCTCTGAAGAATGGTTGCTTTTTCAATCAGGAAATACTGCAAAAGAGCCTACTGGAATCACTATGAAAGCCTTGTCGCAATTAGTCTTGGCTTTGCTGGAAATCTTTATATATTGCCATCTTCACAAAAACTGAGGATTTACTTGGGAGAGGAAATAGGAGAGAATATTATAATATGTAGAAACACATAATATGTTAACACTAAAGTTCTTGAGAACCATTTGTGTCTTGAAGAGGAGAGGTGTTCGTCCAAGCTTAATCCCTTAGTACTTCCTTACTTCCTCCTTGTTCTGTGAATTCCAGATGCTCTGTAGTACCTCAGGGCATCATTTTTCACTATAGTCACTCTCAGGCACTAGTGGATATGGTACTCCCTCTACTGAATCCCTATGCATTCAAGGTTTTAATATTGGAAAGACCCAAATCCTGATACCAGTCGGTTCAAAGGAATGTGAAGTTACTTTCTTGAGAGCTAGTTTTCCATCAGTTCTACCTTGACAACTCAGGAGACTTTCCCTGTTTCCTTTCCTATCAGTCATGAGATGTAATACTTTTATTGCACCCCTTTTTAAGCACTTGTCTGCTTCTCCAGTAAGAGGATATTCTTTGGCTATTTTAAGTAGCTCTGAACTGATCCAAGGGGCTAGTCATATATAAACCTCAACTTTCTATTATTAATAAATAAACAAAACTTCTCCATCTTGTAGGCTATTACCAGGAGTTCATTTTCCCAACTTGCACTGTACTTGGTGTATGTAGCTCTACCTGCCTTTAGCTACTTTTACAAGGCATTTGACAGGGCGTTTCTTCTTGTAACCCTGGTCATGATGCACTGATTGTATTTGCTGTTTTCCCAGTCACTTCATCCTGCTTTATGTCGATTATTTTTAACCACTCTATAGTTTACCTTATGCTTTCTGTCACTAAGAGAAAATGTAACACGCTTTTTGATGCACCTTTTTTGTGGCCCAGAACAACCTTCCTGATTTCACTCAAAAAGTAGTGACATTTGGATGACATTCCAGGATGCCATGTGTCAGGTTGCAGCTCTTTGACGTAGGAACCATACAGATGTGCAAAACAAGCATTAGAACAACTGAATGTGCCCAGCAGGGAGGCAAGCTTGTATTACTAGCAACAAAACAATCATGACTAGAAGAATGGAGAGTTTCCTACCTGTGGGCTAACTTCCTATTCTGACCACGTCATGTGTTACATTAAGTCCTGGCATTATTTCTCTTTCGTTATTCTTTCAGAGCCTTGTTAGAGAATTCTGATGAAATTATCAGGAAATCATGTAAACCTAAAATATAAAAGGTTGAAAGCTGTCAGAAAAATGAATGCTGGGGACGGTGTCGTTCTGAGCATTGACCCTTGGTATGGAGAGGATACCCGTGGGTCTCAGGAGTCACTCCCTCTAAAACTTTTAAGTTTTACTTTGAGTTGAGCTGTATTTTGGTGTGGTCTTTCCCAGATAGTTTCCTCTTGGGTTTGACTTCTTGCATGAGTAATGCTGATTATTCTGTATGCTGTACCTCAAAAAATCCTTTGGATTTGCAGGACAAAAGCAGAGGGCTCCTGCCGTGGCTGTGGATTACAGGACATGCAGGATATGTGATACATTCTAATCAAGTACTGTATAAAAGAACAAACCTGAACTCTTAAACTTCTAAACATGGAAAGAGCAGCCTGATGGTCTCCGGTGTGTTTAGATGGCTTGACAAACATTTTATGTTTACCCCTGCTGGTAATGGAGTGGATGTGATGCTAGGTTTGACTCCTTGGTTGCCTAGAACAAGTGCCAGTGTTGCTGCACTGACATGGCAGAGCACCCAGGACCCGTGACATCTTGACGTAACAGGGACCTGTCATGCTGCACTTCCTCAGCCCATTCCATTCCCATAGGGGAATAATAGAATAGCAGAATGAAGTCAGCAGAATGACTATTCTAATGGTGCCATGACAGCAGAAAACTATAATGTTCTGAATGTTTGGAAGTAGACTTGGACCACCAAGTAATAATAAAGTGGAAATGACAGAGGTCAGTTCAGCACTCATAATTTTGTGGTTAGAAATGTTTGGCATCAGCCTCTTGAAAGTTGTCATTATGAAACAAAATTTGATTTCAGAGCTGTAACACTTCGTAAGCTCCAGTTCAGTCACAGAGCCCTTTCAGGACAAGGCTTACCAGGGGAAAAAAAATTGAAAATAACATAGATCATTGTGGTGATATTGAATCAATGCAGAATTTGTTGTCCCTGTTACTTGAAAGGTCACTTGAACACACCTCTGAATGCACCAGCTCTAGATTTTAGGTGGATGTGCTTTAAACAGTTCATGCCTAAAGCTGCTAAGTGAAAAATTAGTGGGTTGGGGTGTGTATACACACACACATATATATGCATGCTTGTGTGTGTATATTTATTTTTTGTAAAACACGGAACTTTCTCATTTTTACTTACTCAACCTCCCCAACAGAAGCAGTAAGATCCCTTTGTGTAACAATGCCAGCCCATCCTGCACACACATTCTGGCAGGTTACATGGACCCACATGCAATGGGTTTTGATGTAAATGTGACTTTGTCAGCTTAACAGCTCCTTGGGGCACTGTAGGGTGGTTAGAGAAGACAAATGGACACTAACAGCTTCCATTATCAATTGTTCCAAGCTCTCCCCGTGTGACTATGTATAATAAGGAAGTTCTGAGTCATTTAGCAAAGTGAATGGTGGAAAATGCAGAGTTTGTTGCCATCATGGTCTGGGTGACAAGCAGCACTACATCCTAGGTACTAGAGCTGCCCGTGTGTACGATGAGTTTTCTGCTGGGTGTTGCATACTGATTACCCCCACAATTCATTTTATCCTTTATCATTAAAGCTGCTAAGCATAGGAATACTAACTTTTTAATACAGCCTTGTTAAGCCTTTTTTTGATACCCCTCTCTATTTTGAAATGAAATTAAGTGGATTGGATCAAATTTAACCCATAAAGACATCTCATTTACTGACTTCACAGGTCCCAGAGTGGAAATTGAGTTGTATTTTGTTTTTAACAATCATACTTCGGATGCATTTATAACAAAAGTACTGCACTTTTTTTTTTTAACCTTTTCAAACCTTTGAATCTCTTAATTCCACAGCAGTTTGTAAATGTTGACTAAGTGAAACTTTTGCAAGCACTACAGCAATAAGTTATCATTAATTACTGAAACATGATAACTGCTTTAGAGCTTATGGTTCTGGCAGCAAAATTTAATGCTGTTTCTTTTAATAATAGTTAAGCCATATCATCTAAGGTTTCTGGCTTGAGATGTGAATTTGTTTTATAGATTATAAATATACCTATATAGTGTATGTATAAAGCAGAATGCCTGTCCTTACTGATTATTTTTTGTACCATATTGTAAATTATATTATTTATTCTTTACCAATTTTGGAAAAAGGTGGTTTTGTTATTTAATATAATATACAAAAGCTGTTAAACTTCCTCTGTTTAAATTTCCAATTCAACTTGTAAAGCTGTTTTTATTCTTGTGCATAAATACATACTAATACTTGATCTAACTTGCGTCCAGTGTGGTACTTGCTGTTTATGCCCTCTCAGATGTTTGTTTGTTTTTATTTAAACTTTATTTAAATATTAATGGCCAGGAAGAGGAGGGTGCTAAAAGTTTTTCCATAAGGCTAAGCCTCCCAAGGTGAAAGTGTGGTTTCAGTGAAATCGGACTTCCATTGACATCTCCCATCCCATCCTGCTTTTTACCATGGTGAGAGAAGGGGGGTGGGAGGGATGTTTGGCTTTTTTTTTGCCTTCCCCCCCCCCCCCCCAGTAGTGTCTGCTGACTATCACAAATGGATCAAACCAGAGGGCTGCCTGTCCTGTCTTCATCTATGGCCACCAGGATGAACAAGGGGAAGGAAGAAAAAAAAAAATACACTACCAATCAAAAAGGTACAATAAAAATGGTATTGTACATTTTGGGGTTGTTTTTTTTGTTTTTATTCTAGCATTTTTTTCCTTCACAGCTCCGGCTAAGCAGGCAGTATTCAGGCCATCATGCTGTGTATAACCACTATCATATAACCCTGCTCAGACTCAAGGCCCAGGTTTCCTTCCAAGCTGAATTATCCTGTGATCTGTGTCATTAACCAATTCTTTTTTTGTACACATTTAGGATTTTCATCTCTGCACTATCCAGTGGCAACTTTAGTTCAGTTTTGCATTGAAGAAGTGCAAGAGCATTTGTAAACTAGGTAAGAAATTAAAAGGATTTTTAAAATCTCAAAACCTTTTAACATTCTGCAATACTTCCTTTTCCCTCCCAAGAATGAGGACTCATCTCTACCACCTGGGTACTGAGAAAAACAGCACTGTAGGACCAAGCCTGAGCTCTTTCTGTGCAGCTTCTCACCCCTACCATGCTGGGCAGCCTGGCCACGCCCTTTGGGGAAGGAATTGTTCCTGATTTCCAGTCTAAAGTTCTCCTGGTGCAGTTACCTCTTGCCCTATCCCTTGTGCCTTGGGAGAAGAGACCAGCCACCTCCTGGCTCCATCCTCCTTTCAGGTACTTGTAGAGGCCAGTAAGACCCCTCCCCTGATCCTTCTCTTCTCCACACTAAACCCCCCAGTTCCCTCAGCCATTCCTCATCACACTTGTGCTCCAGACCCTAACCAGCTCCATTGCCCTTCTCTGGATGCACTCCAGCACCTCCATGTCTCTCTTGTACTGAGGGGCCCAGAACTGAACACAGGATTCGAGGTGCAGCCCTCGCCCTGGCCCTGCTTAGCCACACTATTGCTGATACAGGTCAGGATGCTGATGGCCATCTTGGCTGCCTGGGCATACACATGAAACAAACAAAGCAAGAAGTTGCAGTTAAAGTACCTATTTTTGGTGTGTTGCCTTGGGTAGTTTTGGGGGATTTTTTTTTTTTTTTATCCTTCAGTACTTGAACTATGGAAAGCTGTGGAGCCATAATTAAACCCTTCAGCTGTAAACGTTCACTTGTTATGTCCCTGTCACTGAACACCGTTTGGTTGCGCAGACAGTGCAGCGTGACTGCAGCAGCGCCTCCCCGCTTGGGCTGTTTGACAGCTGGCAGTTCATGGACAGCATCTCCCGGGACAGGGACTGCAGCGCTGGATTTTGAGGCTGAGATGGGCCACTCTCTGCTCAGACAGCGCTGGTGCGGGCCAGGGGCTCCCTGCACTCACGGTGCTGAAGCCATCTGCTTAGAGTTATCTCCGGGGTTATCCCTCACGACGCTCTTCCTCCCGGTTTCGGCTCTGCCCGCGAGCCCCGGCTGCGCCGGTCAGGTACGGACCGGACTGGGCACCCCTTAGCTGATAGAACCCTGCAGCCGAACTCAGCCTCACTCACCGTTGTCCTACCAGCTCCTTTAAATCCCGTCCCGCTGCTCGCCTTTTGCCTTCTCCCAGCCAATGGCTCTGCAATTCCGTGTGTTACGCCAGGCGTAGCCAATGGGAAGCGGAAAGGAGAAACGACGGCGCGATCCCTTTTCAAGCTTCCCTTCCTCTTTGGGGCTCACCGGACAGGCGGGATATCGAGAGGACGGACTGCGCGCGATAGGCTGTTCGACGTGATGGGCGGGTGGGGAAAGCCAATGGTAGGGCAGGGCGGGCCCGCCGGCGCTACCTGCGGTCCGAGGGGAGTGCCGCGCACGGGGTTGAGTTTGATCCTGTCGTCATGTTTCAGGCCTCTGAGGCCGATCCGGCGAAGCCGAGCTCCAGGTGCTGCAGCGGGACAGCGCCAGCCGCGCAGAGTGACGGGAGGAGCGGAAAGAGCCCCGCGGCAGCGCGAGGCTTTGTTCATGGCGCTCGGCGGCTTCGGCTGAGGCGCGGTGCTGGGGGCGGGGGCGCGGCGCTGAGGGGCTGCGGGAGCAGGTCTCTGCTGAGGGTATTGTTGCTGCGTTGGGTCGGCACGTTCTCCCCGTCTCCCCCATCGCCGGTAGCTGGGGGCTAGCGCAGCTTCCTGCCCGGGTGCCGCCCTGTGCCTCGGTTTACTGGCTTGGGGCCGAGCGGGGATGACGACGCCACTGCCCTGGGCTCGGTGCCACGCGTGGGGCAGGCAGAGGAGCGGCAGGGCCGGTTCCGTGGGGCTGCGGCGCTCGGCGCCCAGCCCGGCCCGTAGGGAGTGGGGCTGGGTCGTGCTGGGCGGGGCTCTGGATCCTGAGGGGTTCCGTGTCAGGTTGTACCTTCTCGGGGAAGGGGTGGGGTCTGGTCATCCCCTCTGTGAAGCTTTGCGAGGATCTAGAGCATGAGCAGATACGAGCTTGTTTTAGCTGTATGAAGCTGAGATCTGTTGTTACACTTGGACGAGGGCACCTATCTTAATAACGTGGAGCTGGAGTGATTAATCCATTCGATAGGTAATTGTGTGCTCGGCAGGGAAGGAAGGAAGTATTTCAAAATCGTGAAAGGGTGTTTTAAGTCTGTCTTTACTCCAGTCGCTCTGAGCTGTGACCTGGTTTTAAAACGCTTCTGAAGATGCTCTGCCCTTACTATAGTCTCTGAGAAGCTTCTATTCTCATGGCAATTCTGAAACCACATATTACTCATAAATTGGGTTTCGGGATAGAGTCTAGACTGCAGACCATGAGAACCTTTTAGTTGACAGCAAGCAAAGGTGGTCTTGTTCCAGCTTGTTCTCTGGCACTGTGGCTGTGGACAAGCTCCAGCAGTGCAGGCAGCAGCATCTACAGGTCCGGCATAGCACATCCTGCAGCACAGTGTGTTTACTGGCTCCATACAGGGGTCTCTGAGATGGTCACTCTTGACACACGGCCTGTGCTAGCAAAACCAGAAAGTATTCTGCTTAAGGATGCTTTTCCCAGGGTTTATTTATTCCCTAATGAAAACTTCATTTGGTAATAATGTAAATCCTCATGCAGCTTTCAATGATGTATAGAAGTTTCATTAGTTAAAACTACATCTAACTCAAAATCCCTGCAGCAACTGCCAGCAGCTGAGGAAGTAGGGAAAAATAACTTCTCCTAATCTGAAAATCTTTGTGAGGCAATTGCAAACAAATGCTTTGCATTTTGAGAGCTCCATAATACAGGAGTATTACTGCTAGAAGTAAATGATGCTAAAAATGTTTTAAATTAAAGCT